TCTCTCTCTCTCTCTCTCTCTCTCTCTCTCTCTCTCACCTCCTCATCCCTGGAAATTTGAAGTGGGAATGCTGGGTACGTATTTCGTGCCCCTAGCCAGTTAGTGTAGCATTGCTTCAAAATGCAATTTCTTGGTCAGTAACGTATAATACTGCATTCAGATACTTCTATTCTATGCGATTTGTTATTTCATGTTTTTGATTTAGATGAAAACAAATCCGTTTACCAGACTTCCGTACAGTAAAAAGTACTGGCAGATTTGGGAGAAACGACGTCAGCTTCCCGTTTGGGATTATAAAGACAAATTCATGGAAATTCTACATAATAATCAATGTATGCTCTCAATAAGATCTCCTGTCGATAGTGATACGTAGTTTGCATCGTTTAGGTATGACATTGGTGGGAGAGACTGGGTCAGGAAAAACGACACAAATACCGCAATGGTGTGTAGAGTATGTCCGACAGAGGGCTATTCCTGGTCAAAGGCGACTCGTAGCTTGCACCCAGCCGAGAAGGGTAGCAGCTATGTCAGTTGCAGCTAGGGTTGCAGATGAGATGGATGTACAGGTGAGTAAACTTTATTACTTTTTCCTTTGAAGTTTTTTGATTTGCGGTAAGCTGGGTGGATTTTTTCGCATCGGAGTCTTCTCGTTTATTATCGATTAGTTTTTTTCAAGTTGGGACAGGAAGTCGGATATTCTATTCGTTTCGAAGACTGCGTCAGTGCGCAAACTATTCTGAAATATTGTACCGATGGTATGTTTTTTTAGACGTTCGCGTAAGTTCATCTAACAATTGACATTGAAAAACATTGACATTTTTGCACAAATTTGGGAGCATTATATTGAGGGGTTCACATCTTTCTCTCTTGTTTGACGCCACTCCAGCTTAGCCTCATTGAAATTTCCTTACTTTCCAGCCTCATCGTTGTTTTGTTGGCCATGTATTTTTTAGGATAACGATTTTTTCGCACTTATGAAAGTTGTGTTTTTTCAATGAGTTTACCTCTCTGGCGTTGTGACTTTTCAGTTTGTGCAAGCAAATTAGGCTGTATATAGCATATATCGCAACCTTGAGCGCAGTGAAAAAAGTTTTGGAAATTTCTTTTTGGCTGTGACTAAACTAATGGATCTACTTGTGTTTCGCCCTTTTTATATTGAGGTAGTAATTTCCATGTTCAACTTTATACTTCAAGGAATGTTGTTACGCGAAGCAATGAATTGTCCACTTTTGGATGGATATGGTGTCATCATTCTTGACGAAGCTCATGAAAGGACGTTGGCTACCGATATATTGATGGGATTAATCAAAGTATAATGCTTAGTCTTTTTAATCATTTCGCTATTTTTTCTATTCCCATTTAGGAAATTGTCAAACAACGCTCTGACATAAAGATAGTCATCATGTCTGCCACGCTGGATGCCGGGAAATTTCAAAATTATTTCGAGAACTGTCCGCTTATGTCCGTCCCAGGACGAACTTTTCCTGTAGAAATATTCGT